TGCAGTGGCCCTGTGCTGCTGCAGGGACTGTCACACTGGTTGGGTGCTCCTGCCACCTTGGCCTTTGGCTGCCATGGCCCCGGCACTGCTGTCCCTGAGCTCCTCCCCGGTGCCATCCCCTGCTGAGTCTGTGACTTCTGGATGCTCCAGCCTCAGAGCAGGATATTCCCTCCAAGAGCCCCAGCAGAGAGCAGGCACTGCAGCTCAGGAACCACTTCTCTGAGACAATTTATATTACATTTTGTTCCCCTCCCAGTGGGCAAAACCTCCCAGCTCTCTGTGTTGAAGAAGCCAGGAAGGGTGGGTTTCAGTGGACACAAAGCTACGCAGGGCCCATGAATCAGGAGAGAGGACTTTGTCCAGGGCTCCCAGTCCTGCTCCCACTGCAGCTCTGTGTCCCTGGGGACAGCCTGGGACCTCGTGCTCTGGGCAGTGGCACTGCCCTCCCCTGCTGCCCTGCTCCAAGCAGCCACGGGTAAGTGAAAATGTGCCAAAGGTTTTTTCCAGAGCTGTGGCTCAGAAGCCTGGCTCGGTGCTGAGGGGCAATGGCAGCTGCTGATGCTGCTCAAACAAGCCCTGCAGTCCTTGTGCCCCCTTGGTGAGAGCAGCCGGGGATTTACGCTGCGGGATAAATAGGTGCTTCCAGAGTGAGAAGGAAAGAGCCCAGGTTGGAAGCTAACCACAAAACGTGGGTGTAAACGATTACCAAAGGCTTCCAGTAACTCTGCTATCATCAGAGACTGGCTTTATGGGTATGGCTTCAAGAAGTTTCCCTCCACTTAATTAAAGAGGCAGATAAGTATCTAGGTGGAGTGTGCAGATAGGTTCTGAATGAGTTATCCACTAAGGCTGGTTCGCTGCACCTATTGTTAAAGCCAGAATATAATATCAGATTAATGCATTATATTTGCCTATTATAGCACTATGTCATCATTATATGACATGTTATAATTAAAGCCCTGCATTAGAAACAAAACTATTTGGCTTGGGATAAGTTGCCTTTATGACTTCTGTGGTTATGATTTCCTCCTTTTCTTAACCCCTTAAAACTGCATAATATAGCTATTTGTAGCTTTATAAAGAAAGTTTCTAGTTTCAGATTCTATCTCAGCTAATTCGATGTAAATAAAGTCAAAATCTGGCACATAGTCTTTTCCTGTGTCAGAGTATTTGCTAGCAGAGGGAAACCCACGTTGTTTGGGTTGACAGAATCCCAAAGATGGGCAGATTAAAGAAGAGGGTGCCTGGGTTGCCATCCTTCCCAGTCATCCCCCAGCTATCCCCGGCAGCTCCTGGGTTTGTACCGTTCCCCAGGATTTCAGGAAGCTGCTGGCAAACTCCAGCTCTTCCTTTTCCTTCCTGGAACTGCACGAGGAAAAATGGGTTTTAGAGCAGGCTCTGGCCGCAGCTGCCGGGAAGGCAGCGCTCCCGATGGGTGTGGGATCGCTGCTGTGAGATCCGGCTGCGATTGCAGCTTGGCTAACTGACTATGCTAATGGCTTTAATTCGCCATTTGCATATGCACGCTTCTCAATTTGAGCAGTCGGTGATTCATGCAGGCAAGCGCCAAGCTCAGCCCCGCTGCCGGGCCGGGCAGAGGTGCCAGCAGTGCCCCTGTGCCCGCCCGGGATGCGCGGAGCGGGGCTGGCACGGCAGGCGCGGTGCCCAAAACCAGCCGGGCTGGGGCTGCTGCCCAGGCAAACCTGGCAGGGCCCTGGCTCTTCCTGCTGCCCTTGGGAGGCAGCGCTTGCCAGCCAGTATTTGCAGTGCCCACAGAAACCTCACTGAGCCTCTCATGCCTCTGACCAGAGCGCTGGTTTGGCCCCGAGGTGCCCACCCCAGTGAGGGCAGCGAGGGGCACCGCTGCCAGGAGCCGGGGCTGGCATCCCACCGTCCCCTCAGTCCCTGCAGAAGCTTTTCTGCTCCGCAGTGCTGGCAGGTCCTTTTCTTCCTCATTCCTCATGACCTTTCCCCTGGACTTGCAGAGAGCTGGATTTGGCCTTGGAAGTTGGCTGGTGCACCAGGAACTGTTTTGTCATTTCTGTTTCACTTGGAAAAGTTCATTCTGCTCCCGGGGCACTTGCTCCTGTGCGGGAAGGCCCCAAGTGTCAGTGCCAGATGTGTCAGATCCTCACTCTGGAGCACACACGGGCTTCTGATGGAGCTGCTGGAGACACGCTTTCAGCATTTCATCTAAAATAATACAATTCCTGCAGCAAGAAGTAAACACGTAAAAATAATAATATGCAAAAATTTGATTTTAACTTTTGCCTTGAATAGATATTTACCTGGCTTTTGCCTTGAACAGATATTTACCTGGCTTTCGCCTTGAACAGATATTTACCTGGCTTTTGCCACTGGTGCCACGGCCACTGCCGAAGGGAATTTCCCCTCTCTGGTGTCCCTCAGCCAGGTAAACCTGGCACTGAGCCCGTCCCACCTGCCAGGGGGACCCAGGGATGTGCTGGGCCACACATCCAACAGCAGAGTCTGCCCAGTGCTGCTTCACTCTCTGCTCTGCAGGGTCCTAAACCCTGCTCAACTCTTGGAACGTTCCCAGCAGCCTCTTGAAGGTGCAGTTAGAACCCCCTCAGTGCTCCCCCATCCTGCCTGACAAGGTGTGAGCGTTCTGGGACAATAAAGCCGGGGGGGCTCATGTCATTGTCCCTGAAATGCCATTGCACAGGGACTGAGCCTGTGCCAGCAGCTGCCAGCAGCAGGAGTCACAGACTGGCACGGGAAAGGGCCTTGGCAGGACAGGGCTGAGGCTCGGGGAGCTCGGGGAGGGCCCAGCTCCGTTCCAAGGCAGGAAAGGGAAGATGCTGGCCAGCTCTGAGGGTGATCTTCAATACCTGGAGATTATGGGGCAGGATAAAAATATGGCCCCTGCAGAGAATTTCCTAATGAGGGACAGGCTGCTCGGTGAGGGAAAAAATTACTTTCTAATAGCATCTGCCTATTTTACATACGTTATGAGCCAGACTCTGTGTGGTCAAATTACTGTCTGGGAAGGGTTTGGAGTGAGGGACAGTTGTGCTTCTGGCCTTTACAGTAAGCAATATTACCCTGGGAGAGAGAGCAGAGTGGAAAAACAGAACAATGTCTGCAGAAACCAACGAGTAACAAACGCAAGAGGTCCATTTGCCTCTTCATTACAGGAATCTGTGGATCAGAAGGTTGGGAAGGCACTGAGAGCACAGCTCCCACCCTGACCAGCAGCTTCAGAGGCTGGTGGAAGCATCTCATTTTGCTCTGCCAAGCAGGTGGCTCTTAGCAGGCAGCTGTAGGAAAGGGTCAGCGCTGTGTTCCTTTGCCCAGCCCTGGTGCCAGCTGGACTGGGGAGTCACTGCAGAGGGCAGGGTGCTGGGGGCACTGCAGCCCCCTGCCCAGCCTGGGGCTGCCTGGCCACAGGGCACTGCTGGAAGGGCCCACGAGCATGCCAGGTTTGCCCTGAGCTGCCCAGAGCTGCAGACCCCTGCCCAGCCCTGCCAGGCACCCACAGAGTCCCTGCTGACCCCTGCTACCCTGCTCCGTGCTGAAGCGAGGCTTTGCCTCTTTAAAAAACAAAAAAAGAGAGAGAGAGAAATATTTTTGCTTTACCTGTCACAGTAAACTGGCTCTCATGCCAGTAAAGCATTCCTAATTGGCAGGATTTAGAGACTGATCATTTCAATTTATGCCCAGAACAGGTAGGGCAGCAATGAAAGCCTCTCCCACCCAACCCCACCCCTCCTCACCGTGTGCCTCAGCCCTGCCCTGGAGGGACCACCTGGAGGGCCGAGCCGGGAGTTCCCTGGACTGCGCAATGGGAAGGTCCCGTGCATAAATAAAATAAATAGCAGTAAACAGCAGCCTGAGCTCCTGCTCGTTCACAGCCACTGTCCCTGCGCTCACAAAGCTGCTGCAGGGCTGGTGCAGGGAGCACCTGCTATGTGACTCCTTGGTCCCTAACCCTGCCTTTAAGGCTTGGCAGGAGAGAGCAGAGGGAAGTTTTCTCTTCACATTACGCTGGCGTTGGTGGGAAGATCATCCCTCAGCTGCTGGAAGTGGTTCCCATCACTGCCCCAGCTTGCAACAGCCTTCCCAGAACCCTGGGCTGCTGGGTATCGCTTCCTTCTTCCCAGGCCCCTCCAGCACGTGCACATTTGCCTCCTTGTCCTTTTTGCCAGTCCCTTTCCACCCTGCCAGCCTTGCTCAAGGACTGTGTCCCCTGCAAGCAGCCACAGGCCTGCGTGACGAGGGGATTGAGAACCTCATTCCCACTGCTGCCAGTGCCCCATCCCTCACAAGCCAAGCCCCCCTCATCTGGGGGAAGGCACAATCAACACGTATTTGTTACTGACAGAGGAGGAGCTCCCAAGGAGCATTAGATTTCCCCATAAAGTAGGAGCATCTATTCACCTAAATGAAATGCTTTGCAAAAATAAAAACTAAACCCAAGCACGGTACAAACTGGGAGCCATTAGCAAATCAGGCTTCTGCAATTGCAGAGCTGAAATCCAAATAGCATTTTCCAGTAGCCATCAGCCTCACTCAGATTGCCCAATGCAGGCACCACTGCTTTTCTCAGCATCTGCTTTATCAGTTGTCTTCCAGCCCAGGGAAGTCCGTGGCTCTTGGCA